GGGTCCCGGAGAGCAGAGGTCCTAGAGTCCTCGCCCCCGCTCTCCGCAGGCACCCAATGTCACTGGACCCACAATGTCACACACACAGGCACGCACACACACACACACACACACACACACACACACAGAGGCATCGCCTGGCTGGCCTGAGCACCTACCCCCATCTTGGCGGCTCCGGGGGACAGGGGCACGCGGGCGGGGCAGGGGCCGGGGCAGGGGGCCTCAGGGTGGGCTCAGGCGCGGGCTCGGGCTGGGGGCCTCTGCAGCGCCCGCGCCTCGGTCCGCGTGTGGGTCCGGCGGTCAGCCCTACCGCACAGAGTCTGCGGCGCCCGCCGCCGCCTCCGCCTCCTCATATGCCCGCGCCCGCGGGGGGGGCCGGCGCCGGCCAATCAGGGGCGCCGCCGCCCTGATGGATGGCCCGCGGCCCCGCCCCCGGTACTGCAGCTGTTCTCCCCGCCCCCCCAGCCTCCGCAAAGTGGCGGCTCGGCGGCGAAGGGGGAGCGCTGCGGGAGGCTGAGAACCCGGAGAGCCCCCCCCCCCGCAATGAGGGACCTGGAACCCCCCGCAGTGTGGGGTGTAGCCTCCAAGGAGGGGGCGCTGAGGGGGGAGAGCCCCGGAACCCCCCCTCATTGTGTGCCACCAAAGGGAGGGGGCGCTGTGGAAGGTGAACCCCGGGTGGGGGGAAGCCCCATAAACCACTGCAATAAGGCAGGAAGGCCAGAGCACCCTTCTCTGCAATGAAGCAGGGGGAGCCCTGGAGAATGGGGTGCTGTTCAGGAGGGGTAGGTGGAGGGAACCCAAGAGGCGAGAAAGAGACCCCGCAATGAGCAGGGACGCAGCAGAGGGGGGCGGGGCCCTGAGGCCCCCTCACTGTGTGACCGCCCCCTACCCACTATGGCATGGCAGTTATCCAACGAGACACAACTGCATAGGTACACAGGAGACTCATCACAGCCAGATAATTCCACCAAGCATCAGACTCACACCGGACTGTCACCCAGAGAGCACAGATGCTGGGGACACCCACCAACACCACCCACCACACACCACCAGTTTCACAATCACATTCCGTCACACACCAGCTTATCACCTCCCACACATCCTACAGTACCCCATCAAAACAAGCCCAGAGACTCACAAACACATAGCAAGGAAAACACACATAACACACACACTGCACACCCCATCACACAACAGAATCACAGTCATAAAATGCCATGCAGAGGAACACACACCCTTAAAACACCACCTCACAGACACACACGTCACATGCTCCATCATAGCTGGCCTTAAACCATCTCACACAGAGACCAGCAAACATATAATCTATGGGCCCAGTACACATCCACACTCAGCACTGTCAAACAGACACAGGCCTCACACTGCCCCAGACACCACTTGAACCTTTGTGGACTCTGCTGTGTAGTCACACATCACACACACTCCTCCCCAATATATCTGGGCATATGCAAAGACCCTCCATGCAAAACTTTCAAAGTATTGCTAATTGTGAATGACAGACAAAGGGTGCACACAGACTCATGCACGGCACAATAATTCACAGACACAGATCACGCAACACCATCCCACACACCTCACACACTACACTCATCATGTATTGCAGTGCTGTCTTATACAGTTGTATTGTAGCTTCAGTGTAACACCCCCAATGCCCACACTCCCACGCTGTGCACATCCCAGCTCGGTATATATTGATATACACACACACAGATGCACAGGGAGCACCCACACCCCAGGCCTGCCACAATACACAACACCCCATTGGCCACCCACTGGAGCCTGAGGAGTTACAGCCTCCCACCCCCACCTCTCGGCTCTATGAGGAACACTCCCAGACTCTGGGAATGGCAGAAAGAGCAGAGAGCAGGCAAGAGCCTGTCTCTGTAGCTTTTTCAGAATGTGGGTATCCTCCCATCTATGGAAGTCAAGATGTGGGGGACAGGCAAGGGGCATGAAGGTTAAGGACCAGGTCATTGATATGTGTGAAAGGCTGAAGGCTGGAGTGAGACACAAAAAATGGGAGATTCAAAACCACAGAAACACAGGACAGGGAGACTGGGCCAAAGAGTAAAAGGGGGCAGGAAGGTGGGTTCCTTCATTCCTCCAGTACCCAGAGCCTCAGCCCAATCCTGTACTCTGACCCGTCCCCATCCTTCCCTGCTGTCCTTTGTTGCCATAGTAACAGGGAGGCAGCATATGCAGCAAAGGAGGCTGGGCTTACAGATCTGGCCTGTCTCCATGGAGACTGGTGGGGGGGGAGCCACGTCTTCTAGCCCTGGTAGTTGGCCCCTCTGCGGAACTCTGTCCCCTTCCAGGAGGAGGATGGGAGGGAAGGAGGGAGGCTCTGTCAACATATTATCTTTTTCCTCTCCACCTGATCCTGCAAGGATGAGCCTGGACCATGGCAGAGAGACTGGGGGGATGGAGAAGCCTGGGGGCTTTCAGAATCCCAGGAGATTCTTGGCCTTCTCTCCTGCTCACCAGCTGGGCTGGGGGAGACTGCACCCCAGACAGGCTCATGTCCCCCCTCATGCACTTCCTCCTCAGTTTGGGGAGACTGATGACTGTGCATAGTATTCCCAGCGTGAGGCTTTGCGGAAGTTGGGTGGGGGAGGAGGAAGATTTACGAAGGTCACAGGGATGGACGGGGACAAGGGAACTCAGCAAGAGAGACAGAAGGAAAGACTAAGGGGAGGAATGGACACAGAGTTCAGAACCAGAGAGATGCAAACAGGAAAGGAAAAACAGAAAGATGGACAAAGACAGACAGACTGGCAAAGACAGAAATGAGGAAACAGATGGAGGAGACAGATCAACTGCATTACTTAGTGAAGATGACAGAGCGACACAGGGACATAGAGAGCCAGGCGGACATGTTTGGCAAACTGTGGTAGACAGAGATAAAGACTGAAGAGACAGCAGAAATGCAGGTGGGGGAGACTCAGAAGTGGGAGACCTGATGCTTGGTATTGGGACAGAGAATGGGAGAGACCAAAAATGTCTGCAGCCATATTCTATCACCTTGACAGACTGACATTCCCGCTCAAGGGCAGAGACATTGATTTAGTCTATAAGAGATGTGGAAACAAGAAACATCCTGAGACACAAGCTCGCCCCCACACCTGCCTCTGAAGGGCACACATGTGGCAAGTGTCTGATACACGGAAGAGGCCAGGTTGAGACGGGGTGCTGTGTGCCAGGCGGGGTCCCCCGGATGCGGCGTGCCCAAGCACTGCGAAGGCTGGCAGGTCCTGTCGGGGAGACAGGGCGATGCTGCGCGCCAGGCCGGTGCTGAACGGACAGCTCCCGAGCTCTGGGCCGCCTGCCCGAGGGGCGGGGCCCAGCCTCGCTCCTCTCCCTCGCTTGATCTCTGGCATTTCCACTGCTCGGGCCCCCTAACGTCTGCATCTAGGTTCCCAAGGCTTGTTTCTCACCCCTCTCTGCTCCACTTCAGTCTCTGCCTCTCTCAGCCCCAACTTCCCCGGTCTCTTAACTTCTGTTTTCTCTGTCCACCCCTCCTCTCTCCTATTCTGTCTCCCTTCTCCTACCTCATTATGGCTTGTCTCCCTGTGTCTTCCTCTTTGGCCTATTTCCCTATCCCTCTCTGCTCCCCTCCGTGATCTCGCCCCATCGCTACTCCATTTCTGTCTCTTCCCCATTCCTGTCCCATCTCTTTCTCTCCACCTCTCCCCCTTCCACTCGGCCTCGTTTTGGCTCCGGCTGTGTGACCTTCACTCGTCCTTTCTCAGCGGCAGTTTCCACAGAAACCTCCAGCGGGGCGGGGGAGGGCGGGGACAGAAAGCAGACCCACCCTTTTCCCCGGATCCACCTGCCCTTCGGCCTCCCGCCCCCCTACCTCCCCCTCCACTGGGATTTCTCACTTCCTCTCTTGGGGGCTGGGGAGTTAACGTTTTCAGCAGAAACACAGGATCAGGGTCATAGACAACTGAAGGCGGTCTCAGGGAGGTACACACATGCACATGATTACAAAGCCAACAAATCACCCCGGCCCAGGCACACACCTGTCACTGTCCGGGCTAGCCGGGGCACCACCACACTGAACTGTTCACTCGCCCTCCCCTCCCCCAGCCCCATCTGGTTTCTGTCATTCTATGTCTCCTTTTCCTGGTGTCTCCGCCTCTCCAGATCCCTGCACCTCTCCATCTGTCCCAGGGAGAGCTGCCTCCTTCTGTCCTGGGAGAAGGTCAGTGGAGAAGGGCCAGCTGCCCGGACCTGCGCTGACCTGCTGTCTGTGGGCAGGGCAGAGAATCGAAAGAGTGCAGGGGTGCCCATCCAATCTGTGGTTCTCAACAGTCTCCCTGGGGGGTGGGGAGGGGAAGCCCAACTCTTCGGTGCCCTCACTCCCCCAGGAAATGAGACCCGCGTATCCCCAGCTTTGGGGTTTTGTTCTTTTTTTTTATTCCAACAGGGACTGGGCTGTGGCGGGGGGGGGGGGTGGGGATGGGGGCCCAACTGACCCCCTCCCTGTGGGGGTCTCATAGAAATTCGGAGGTTTCTCCCCAAAAAAAAGAGAGAAAGAGAAGAGTCAAGGGGCGCCAGGGGACACCCATCTGCCCAGAGGCTTCCCACTTCTCCAGAAGTGGGGAGGGCTGCGTCAAGTCTTGGGGAGCCTGAGCAGTCCCAGGATGGGGTTCTCCCCGCGGACTGCTTTCCGCTTCCGGGAACGACCCCTGCAGTCCCGGCCCCCGGAGTCCTCGGTCCCCGCACTCCTCTTTGTCCGCAGTCGGGGGCGGCGTGCGGGAGTCCGTGGCTCCCTCCGGCGAGTCCAGTAGGGGGCGCAGGCGGGCTCTGGAACCGAGTCTCGGACTTCATCGGGACTTCACCGGGAACCCAAGGCAAAATCGCGGCGTCCGGCGCGCGGCGGGCGCAAGTCCCGTCCCTCGCCCACTGGGGAAGCGAGGGCGACCGGGGCCTGGGGTGGGCCCGGCCCCTGCGTCAGTCCGGGCGCCCGCCCGTGGTCACTCGTGCTCGGCCAGCTCGCGGGGGCCGGCGGGCCCGGGCCGGGGCCGGGGCGGGCTGGTGGCTTCGGCGGGGGCGCCCAGGCCACGCGGGGGCGCGCCGGCCCCGGACGCCCGCAGCGCCTGGATGCGCCGGCACTCCTGGCAGACGCGCACGTGGGTGCAGGGCGTGGGGGCGGCGGGCCGGGCCCCGCCTGGCGGCCCCGGATCGTCCAGGAGGCGCTGGGGACCCCCGTGCGCGCTGCCCGTATCCGCGCCAGCGGAGTAGAGCTTGCCGTTGCTAAGGCGCATCTCGCGGACGGCGCGCAGCGACAGCAGGGCCCGGCTGGGGCCGCCGGGCCGCCGGCGCCGGCGGGAACGCGACGTCTTGCGGCAGGACACCGCGTGCCGCAGCTCCTGCAGCATCTCCTGGCACACCGACACCTGGGGGCGGCGCGGGGCGGCGGTCACGGTCTGCGCCCTCCTTGCGGCCGCGCCTCCTCCCTCTCCACCCCTCTGGTCCTCTAGGCAACGCTCTTCACATCCTCCTGCTCTCCCCGCCCCACCGCTGTGTTCACCTCTTTCTCTTTCCCACCTGCGCTCTCATCGTCTCCCTTCCTTCCATCCTCTCCTCACTCCCTAGTCTCTTCCCTCGCAGGTCCCTTCTCTCCCCGTGCTCTTCCTTCTTCTCACCTCTCAACTCCTGTCTGTCCTCCACTTCTCTCTCCCTTCTCCCTTATTCTCTGGATTTGTTCTTAAACCGGCCCTTCACCTCCGAGCTGTGCTCCTCTCTTCCCCTCTCTCAACTCTTGTCTTTTCACTCTAGAGTTTCTAACTGCGTCTATTCCTTCCCTCCTACTTGTTCTCCATCCTGTCACTGATTCCTCTGCGTGGTACTGCCTGCCTACTGGTGGCTCAGATGCTAAAGAATCTGCCTGCATAGCAGGAGACCCAGGTTTGATCCCTGGGTGGGGAAGATCCCCTGGAGAAGGGAATGGCTACTTACTCCAGTATTCTTGCCTGGAAAACCCCATGGACAGAGGAGCCTGGAAAGCTACAGCCCATGGGGTCGCAAAGAGTCGGACACAACTGAGTGACTAACACTTTCACAACATACTGGCAGACCACCTACGGTGTCCCAGGCACTGTCTGGGAGCATTAGGGCCACAGCAGAGAACAGATGGGAGCCCCTGCCCTCCTGGAGGTTATCGTCCAGCACGCAGAGACAAAACATAAAGCCATAGTATGTTCGATGGTGATGAGTGCTTTGGAGAAAAATTAAATTTGGAAAAGAGATGGGGGTGTGGGTGGGGAGCAAGGTTAAATGTTGAGATGAGACCTTAGGAGAGATTCGTTGAGAAGAGGACCTGCAAGTAGACAAAGGCAGGGCGGGGATGAGCTGCATGGGACCTGGTAGGAGCGAGGGCAGACATTTCAGCTGGATACAGGTGCGGAGGTTCTGGAAGAACCTGGAGCAGGGCAGGGTGGCCAGGGCAGGGTGGCAAGGGGGCATGGGAGGAGAGGAGGTCAGAGGAGCCGTGGGGGCTGGCTTGTTTAAGGCCCAGAGTCCACGGTAAGCATTTGGCTTTCACTCTAAGTCAGATGAGCCGACTCACTGGAAAAGACCCTGATGCTGGGAAAGATTGAAGGCAGGAGAAGGGGATGAGAGAGGACGAGATGGTTGGATGGCATCACCGACTCAATGGACATGAGTTTGAGCAAGCTCCAGGAGATGGTGAAGGACAGGGAAGCTTGGCGTGCTGCAGTCCATGGGGTCGAAAAGAGTCGGACACGACTAAGCGACTGAACAACAACAGAACAACAACTGAGTCAGAAGAGTTTTAGATATAGGACCGCTGTGCCTTCACCGGATCACTCTGGAGCTGTGCTGAGAAGACTGTAGGGAGGCCAAGGGCAAGAGCAGAGAGCCCCCTAGGGAACCACTCTGATCACCAGGCAAAAGATGGTAGTGACTGGACCGGTCTTGTGGCGGCCAAGGAGGTGAGAAGAGTTTGAATTCTGGGTGTGTTTCAAAGGTGGAGCCAACAGTTTTTGCTGAGATCAGGAAGAGGGTGTGAGAAAGAGGGAGGGGAACAACGGCCTTGCCTGATGGGCGGGCAGGAGCTCCGTGTTGGCCACGTGATGTCACACACCGCCTGGTGGACAGCCAGGCGGAGAACAGTGAGCTGAATTTACAAACCGTGGGTTCAGGGTGAGGTCCCTGGAAAGGATACACACCTGGGGGCTATGGTAGTCAGCCTCCAAGATCCTGCCCCGGGATGCTCACACCCTTGTGTAATCCCCTTTGCCTTTGTAGGAGGGTCCCTGTGTGATCCACAGAATAAGGCTAGGTCGGTGACATTTCGGCTCTCTCTTGGATCCCTTGCTCTGGGGCAAGTCGGCTGCCACGGCCTGAGGACACTCAAGCAGCCCTATGGAGAAGTCGCTGAGTAAGAACTGAGGCCTCCTGCCCGCGGCCATGTGAATGAGTGTATTTTTATTCTATCTCAGGATGTTTTGACTTCTTAAACATCTTGCTAGCCAGGGAGAGACCGCCCTCCCAGAGCTAGCCGATTCTTAGGGACAGCGAAGGGTTGGAAACCTGCCTTTCATACGAAAACCCAACCAGTTCTGAATCTATACTCCCCCTTTATCTGACTCTCACACCAAACCCTAAAACAACCCAGGGCAGGTACCAGACGAGTAGAGACCACTCCTCTAGCCCAGAACCTGCTAACGGCATTCACATGGCCGAGTACTAAGCCGTTTCCCCACTTGTCTTGCCTTTCCCAATAAAGCCTCCGCTCTAGGTTTCTCTCTCCCTTCTTCTGCTTCCTGACCAAAGCTGGTGCTTTCCTGTGGCCCTAGCGGTGCTGGTGGTCGGGGGCGGTGGCAATCTGTTAGGTGATATAAGTAATAAATTCTTCTTTCCCTGGCACTGGCTTCTCCGTGTCATCACCCAGTCACTCCCATAAATTAAAACCCCAAGTACATTGTGAGGCAGGGAGCCATCCTAGAAGTAGATCCTCTAGCCCCAGTGGGGCCTCTGTGCGCGTGTGCTGTCACTTCAGTCGTGTCCAACTTTGTGTGAGTCTATGGACTGCAGCTGCCAGGCTCCTCTGTTCATGGGATTCTCCACGCAAGAATACTGGAGTGGGTTGCCATGCCACCTCCTCCAGGGGATCTTCCTGACCCAGGAATCGAACCCGCATCTCTTATGTATCCTGGATTAGAAGGCAGGTTCTTTACCACTAGCGCCACCTGGGAAGCCCCCAGACAACAGCAAGTCCCCATGACATCATGCCCGTGACCTCAGCAGAGACACTGAGCTGCCAGGACCACCCAGCTGAGCCGCTCCCAGATTCCTGAGCTGTGGAAACTGTGAACTGGTATCAGTTTGCTGTTGGAAGTTGCTAAAATGGGGGATAGCTTGTTACGTGGCAAAAGATGAATAATGCAGGAGTCATCAGCATACAGTCTTGCAAACCATTTGGCTGGAAGAGATCACCGAGGAAGGGGAGGAAGAGAAATCCAAGGCCCGAGCCCTAGGGCCCCCCGAGGAGAATGTCAGAGAGGTAGGAGGAAGATGACACAGGAACAGGGACCAGAGAGGGCTGAGGAGATGGTGACCAGCTGTGTGGGAGCCCAGGGCTACCTCACCGTGATGAGGCTGGAGACTCAGGCACTGGATTTCAGATGTGAAGGTCGTGGATGGCGAGACTGGCTTTGGCAGAGGGGCGGGGACAGAAGGTGGATGGGAATGTGTCCAAGAATGAATGGAAGGACAGAAACTGGAAACACCCTGTCGAGGCTACCACAGAAGGGAAGAAACGGGCTGGTGACCAGGAGGGGAATAGGTGTGGAGAGAGAGGATTCCTTGAAGATGGGAGAAATGATAGTGTATCTGTCTGCCACCCGGCTTGATCTGATAGAGAGATGAAAACTGATGATGCTGGACGGAAGGAGGGAAGGCCGAGGAATGTCCTTGGGAAGGCGAGAGGGGAGGCGGGAACCGGGCACAGGTGGAGGGAGTGTCAGCGAGGAGGAGCGTGGACGCTCATTTGGAATAACTAACAGGCGCGTGGGGAAGGCAGGAGGGTGGCGGCATGTGGAGGTGAGGGCTGGCAGGCTCTCGGACTCCTCTGCTTTTCTCAGGCGAGCAGAAGCAAGGTCAAGGGCTCACAGGGAGGAGGGGGAGGAGGGGCTGGAGGCTGGCAGAAGGCGGGGAAGGTGGGAATCTCAGAGGAGCAGCGAGGGGGCGGGCAGCAGGGTTAGCGGTGGAGTGTGGGTGGGCAGCCCGCGCACACAGGGTGTGAGAGCGGCCAGCACGCCTGCTTCCTTGCTGCCGCATACAGCTGCATTCTCCTTGCCCCGTTGTCTCTGCTGCTATTTCTTCCTTATCTACCACCTCGTTCTCTCCCGGGAGCCTTCTCTCGGTGCCCCTCCTCACTCCTTCCCCCGCATCGTCACGGCTGCCTGTGCCCTCTTCCCCCTCTATCCTTCGTCATGTCCGTGGACCCTCTCTCTCGTCCTCCTTCTGCCCTCGCCTCTCTCTTTTTTTTTTTTTAAATTGGCTGCACTGCAGCTTGTGGGATCTTAGTTCCCTGACCAGGGATTGAACTGGGACCCTCTGCCTTGAGAACACCAGTCCTAACCACTGGACCACCAGCAAAGTCCCTGCTCTCACCTCTTTCTGGAGCCCTGGGACCCCTGGAAGATCGTCTCTCCCCTCCCTGGCTCCCACCCCTTCCCCAGCATTCCTCCAGGAATGGCTCCCAACGCCACAGTCTTCACGACCCCCCCACCACCCCCAGGGTCCCACTTCTCCCCGCACACCCTTCCTCAGCCTCCTTACCTCTTCTGACTCTGCCGACCTCCGCGTGGACCATATGAACTCCATGACCGCCACGAAGACAGCGATGATGAGGCCACAGATGAGCACGACAAAAATGCCCCCGATGTTCTCCATGCCCAAGCCTGGGGGTGGAGGGGGAGAGCCAGGGGTCGGGCCTTGTGGGCGGGGGAGGAGGGGGCCAGTGAGGGGCCTTCAGGAAGGGCAGGGCATGCGGGGGTGGCTGACCTTTGGCTCGGTGGTCCTCCTCCTTGGGGCATCGGCCCCCCTCCCACCACTTGCGCTTCAGGATCTCCAGCCGGTTGTTCTCCTGAAGCTGAAGGATGGCCAGCGTGATCTCATCCCGGAACGGGGAGCCTGGACCGGGCACACGGCGGGGGCAGGTCATCAGGACCCTGGAGCCCTGCCCCACAAGGCCCAGCTCCTCTCCTCCCGGCTCTGCCGCATGCCCAGCATCTTCCCTGTCCACCCTCTATCTGACTACTGCTCGCCACCTCCCCTTAACCACCCCTGGGCCAAGCCCCTGACTTGTCACATTTGTCACCATTTCCCCCTCCTTGGACAGCAAGGAGATCAAACCAGTCAATCCTAAAGGAAATCAACCCGGAATAGTCATTGGAAGGACTGATGCTGAAGCTGAGGCTCCAATACTTTGGCCACCTGATGGGAAGAGTCGGCTCACTGAAAAAGACCCTGATGCTGAGCAAGACTGAGGGCAGGAGGAGAAGGGGGCGACAGAGGATGAGATGGTTGGATGGCATCATCAACTCAATGGACATGGGTTTGAGCAGACTCCGGGAGACAGTGAAGGACAGTGAAGCCTGGCGTGCTGCAGTCATGGGATTGCAGAGAGTCAGACGCAACTGAGCGACTGAACACCACCACTCCCCTCCTTGTGGCCCCCACCCTTACTCCCCACTGAAGCTCTTCTCAACACAGCAGCCAGAGAGACAATTTCAGAAACACAGTCATAGATCACACCTCTCTGGTGCTTAAAACTCTCCAATGACTTCTGTTTGCAGCTAGAAAAAAAAAATGTTCACAGGTTCAACAAGATCCTGCATTCACTGGTCCTGCCACCTGGGGCTCTCTTAGGCCCTTGGCTTCTGCCTGGAGTGTTCCTTACTTCACTCAAGGTGCAGGTCACACAGTGCCTCAGAAGGGTCTTCTCTAACTCTGTTTAAAATGCCAGGGAATTCCCCAGCAGTCCAGTGGTTAGGACGCTGTGCTTTCACTACGGGGGTGAAACCCAGGCCTATGGGGGGCCTGGGTTCAGTCACTGGTTGGTGAACTAAGAAATGGCAAGCCACGTGGTGCAGCCAAATTAAAAAAAAAAAGACAACAAGCACCCCACTCCCTGTCCATCTCTTCCCCTAATTTACTTCAGAGCAGTTGTGACCACATGACATCACCTTATAAGGCTATGTGTTAAGTGACTGCCATTTTTTGCCCCAGTAGACAGCTCAGGTGGGGGCTGAGCAGCTAGCTCCCCGCTGTGGCCTCTGAGTACCCAGCACAGTCCTAGCACACAGTAGGGCATCAGACCTGCCACATGAATGAGTCCCCAGCCACACCTCTCCTCTGACTGGCCCCAAACCTCGACCACCTCTTTCCTCCCTGCCCTCAGATCCTTCCCTTAAACCATCCTTGGGTCCCACCCACATCCTACCCTCTACTAATTATAATTCTTTTTTAAAAAATATTTCTTCTGTGGACCATTTTTAAGGTCTTTATTGAATCTGTTACAATGTTGCTTCTGTTTTATGTTTTGGGGTTTTGACTGTAAGGCATCTGAGCTTCCCAACCAGGGATCAAACCTGGGCCCCGAATTGGAAGGTGAAGTATTAACCACTGAACCACCAGGGGAGTCCCCACTATGATGATTCTTGAGCATCTTCCAGGTGCCAGAAACTAGGGCAAGGGTGGTGATGGGTATTTAGCAGACACCTACTATGTGCTAGACCACTGGTCTACAGAAAGGTATTCAGGTCTCACAGTGATCCCGTGAGGCATGTACTGTTGCTGTTCAGTTGCTAAGTTGTGTCCGACCCTTTGCGATACCACAGACTATAACCTGCCAGGCTCCCCTGTCCAAGGGATTTTCCCGGCAAGAATACTGGAGCGGGTTGCCATTTCCTTCTCCAGGGCATCTTCCCTACTCAGGGACTGAACCCGCATCTCCTGCATTGGCAGGCAGATTTTTTTACCCCTGAGCCACCAGGGGAGCCCGAGGTAGGTGTTACCACCCTCGTTATCTGAAGGAGGCAGATGACATTGTCGCCTGAGTCAGGGAGGAAGTTGGAATTATAATCCAGGTTGGTGTGACTCCAGATCCTGTCTCTCAGAGCACCAGGTGCCAAGGTTTCCCCCATAACATCACTGACCTCACTGCAAGGCTGCTAAGATTTGGGCTCGTTTGTTATGTAGTCACAGGTAAGTAATGCAGCAATCATCAGGATATAGGTAGGCTTAAAGCCAAAATTGGGTGACCCAGCTGGTGGTGAGTTTCCAGCACCAGCCCTGGAAAAACACGTCCAGGTCTCCCTGGCAGATCCATCCATCATTCTTCCTCCCTCCCTCTCTCCCTCCCTTCCACCCATCCAACAACATCCACTGTCATTTCCAGAGCACCTGTGCTGAGCCAGGCTGTGGGTTTGGTGCAGAGAATGCAATGTCAGCGAAACCACAGCCTCCCCCTGGAGGGGCCCTGGGGCCAACGGGAGAAGGTGGCGAGCCTCACAGAGTTCTCCCTGCCGCCCTGCTGGGCTGGAGTGGATGGCTCCTAGGCCTGTTTATCCAGGTGTAGGGCGCAGAGACTCAGGAAGGTGGCGACAGCTGTCCCAGGTCACACAGGCAGAAGCCTACACACAGCACACCCAGCCTGCTCAGGGAGGGTCTGGCCGACCCTGTGGCCTGCTCACACGGCTTGGTTCCGGCCGCCCGGGGCCCCAGGGCCGCCATACCCAGCGGCATGCCGATGCCGTAGCCCTTGGTGTCGAGGAGGCCCCCGATCTGGGTGAGGTTGCAGTTGAGGCGCCGGTGGTACTCGTTCATGGTGGACTCGAGCAGGAAGGCGTAGCGGGAGTTGAGGACGCGGGCGATGCCCTCCTCTGTGCTCTTGACAAACACGCTGGGTTGCTTCGACTGCATGTAGTTCCACATCCGCTGGTACGTCTGGTACCGTGAATTCTGCGCAGAGGGGGCACAGAGGGGAGGAGGACGGGTGAGGGTCCTCCCACTCCTGCCTTTCCCCCGAGCCTGGTCCTCTGCCCTCCAGGAGGTCTCCCTCAAGCCGAGAGAGCGAGGAGATCAAAGGAAGGCAGAGGCAAGGACAGAGAGAAACAAGAGAGACAGATCACTCAAGGCCAGGTCCAAACCATCCCCACACCCACCAGCCCAGCAAGGAACCCGAGGAAGGAAGGCATGGGAAAGAGGGGGCATGGCCTGTTTTCTAACCCTCTTTATCTCTCCCACCCGTGGGTCTTGGTGCATCTTGACGCCCAGCCTGTCTTCCCAGTGTTCCCAGAGTATATCCAGAGAAGCTGGGAGCAGAGGCTGCACCCCCATTAACTCCCCAGGGCCCAGCCGGCTTCAGAGAGACCTCCATCCAGGCCACACAGGACAGCGCTCCTCCTCCAGGCCCTGCGGGGACCTTCTGAGCAATGCCCTCCCCTGCCCTGAGCCGCTGTGTGTGGCGGTGACCCACACCAAGCCAGGGTGGCCCCGGGGCCCCACCTGAAAGAAGGTCATGGTGGAGCCGGCGTGGATGGTGCCGTACTCGATGTTGGTCTGGTCTGCCAGGTCATCGGCCGACTCCACAGGCACCTCCATGCGCTGCACGGTGAGGAAGGCGGCCAGGTTGGCCGTGTAGGAGGAGATGATGATCAAGGTGAAGGCCCACCTGAGGGGTGGGAGGGGTGAGCTGTGGGCTGGCGCCACCTCTGCCACCTCGCCCCTGTGGCCATGCACCCCACTGGCGGTGCCCCGGCTCAGCGACCCCAGCATCTAGAAGGCTGACTGCTGACTGGGGTCACAGAATCCAATGGACAGAAGAGCCTGGTGGGCTACCGTCCATGGCGTCACAAAGAGTTGGGAGGGGCTGGGATCATAGAATCTGGAGCCAGATCCCTGGGTTTACATTTTTAAAAAGATTTTTATTTATTTATTTGGCTGCGCCAGGTCTTAGTGGAGGATGTGGGATCTAGTTCTCTGAGCAGGGATTGAACAAGGGTCCCCTGCATTGGGAGCGCAGAGTTGAAACCACTGGACCACCAGGGAAGTCCCTTCTCTGGGTTTAAGTATTACTTCCAGGCACTTCCTGGTAGCTCAAACAGTAAAGTATCCATCTGCAATGCAGATTTAATCCCTGGGTCGGAAAGATCCCCTGGAGAAGGAAATGGCTACCTACTCCAGTATTCTTTCCTGGAGAATCCCACGGACAGAGGAGCCTGGCGGGCTATAGTCCATGGCGTCACAAAGAGTTGGACACAACTGAGCGACTAACATTTTCTTTCCAGAGACTTCTGCTCCCAGAAACACAAGAGAATAAGACGGTCTGGAAATACCCTCTCACTGTGAACTATTAATAGAAAACTGGACAGGGTATAGGAAATGACCTTAGACAAAGGACCACAGGCATCACAGCACCAGGATCCCTGAGGAAAGAGGAATAATTAAGTAAGACTGCTTGCCATTACCCAGCTGGACTTAATTTATAGACGGCTGTGCCAGGAAGGAAAACCCAGAGTCTGGCAAACTCACTGAGCTGTAGAGATGGAGATCAGAGATCAAGAAGGCCAAGATGGCTGGCATTCATGAGACAGAATGCCCAAGAGGAAGAAGCAGAATGCTCAGAGTTCTAGTAATCTGCATAGCTTTCTCTTTTGAATCTTTGGCTGAATGTCAGTCTATGTATGCACTGGATAAAACTCCAAGGGGTTAGATAAGAACGATTTTCAAAGAGAGAGCAATTTCCAGGGCTCATACAGGGATGGGAATGTTTTGAGGTCCTTCTAACCAGAGTAGAGAGATTTCTTTGAATGCATAAGACATTCAGTAGAGATCCAAAAGGATAACACATTACAATTAGAGTTAAGTTAGCCCAAGAATATGTTATGCTAGACCTACCCTAAAAGAGCTTAAAAACAGGCCTGGAAAGGCTCAAAAGAATCCACAAGTAACTGTCTTGCAGGAAAAAAAAACAACAAACCCCAAGATTCTTTAATACATGCAACCATGTAAACAACATAAAATCCACAATGCCTGTCATCCAATAAAAAAATACCAGATAAACAAACATGCAGGAAACTGTGACTTACAACTAGGAAAAAGTTGCTCAATGGAAGCCGAACTAGAATTGGCAGAGATGATGGAATTAGCAGGCAAGGACATTAAACAGCTATCACAAAGACATTCAGAATGATCAAGGATGTAAAGAAAAACATGAACATATTGCAGAGGGAAATGGAAGAAAGGAACAGATATCTGTGTATGAAATATACAACATTTAAAATGAAATTTTTATTGGAAGGATCTACACAGATTAAACACTGCACAGAAAAGAAAACAGATTTTGAAGACAGCAAAAGAATCTATTCAAAAGAAACACACAAACACAAAAAATGAAACACAAAGAGGGAAAAAATGACTGACAATGAGCACAGAGCCTTGGTGGCCTGAGGAATAATACCAAGTGGTCTTACATCTGTGACCGGAGTCCCAGAGAGAGAAGAGAGTAAGGGGGTAACAGAAAAAATTTGTGAAAAAGTAATGTCCAAAATTTTTCAAAGTTAGTGAAAATTATAAGCTTACAGATCCAAGAATCTCAATAAACCCCAAGTAAGACAAACATAGATACACACATGTTATTAGTTATTTCTTGTTTTAGAAATAGCTAGTAACATTTTACATCAAGTTTATAAAGTCTGAATTTTTTCTGAATGAATGCAACTAATTTTTATAAGTAAATGCTGGGTTTTATGAGTTTTCCAGGTGGCTCAGTGGTGAAGAATCCACCTGCAATGCAGGAGACATGGAGACCCAGGTTTCATCTCTGGGTCAAGAAGATCCCCTGGAGAAGGAAATGGCAACCCACTCTAGTATTCCTGCCTGGGAAATCCCATGGACAGAGAAGCCTGGCGGGCTACAGTCCATGGGGTCGAAAAAATAAAAGACTTAGCAATTAAACAACATCAAACAAATACCAATAATTATACTGCAGGTAAATGGTCTCAGCCTGGGGTTGGCAAACTATGGCCCAAAGGCCAGATCTGACTTACCGTTTTTGTGCAGCCCACAGGCTAAGAGTGGCTTTCACATTTTTAAATGCTTAAAAAGAAACTGAAGGAAGAGTAACAGCTCATGACATGCGACACATAAAACTCAAATTTCACTGTCAATGTCCATAAAGTTTTATTGGGGGAATTCCCTGGTGATCCAGCAGTTAGGACTCTGAGCTTCCAGTGTGGGGGGAATGGGGAGTGGGTTGGATCCCTGGTTGGGGAACTAAGATCCCACATGCCCTGCTGTGCAGCCAAAAAAAAAGTTTAATTGGAACACAACCACACTCATTCAATAAAGGCTGCTTTTGTACCACAATCAGGGTTAAGTAGATGCAACAGATACCATATGACCAGCAAAGACTGAAATATTTATAATTTGGCCCAATACTCAAAAAAAGTTTGCCAATCCCTGGTCCAAGGCCTAAGTATGTGCTGTGTATAAGAAAACCACTTTAAATATAATAGCGTAGGTAAGCTGACAACAAAAGGATGGGGAAAAGACATACTATGAAACACTACACTAAAAAAGTTGGGGATGGCCCTGGTTGGTCCAGTGGCTAAGACTCCGTGCTACAGTGATTGAACAGGGAGCCCTGGTTCGATCCCTGATCAGGGAACTAGATCCCACATGCCGCAACTAAGATGCAGTGCAGCCAAATAAATAAGTACTTTTTAAAAAAAGCTGGGATGGTTATATGAATATCAAAAAAGGTAACCCCAAAACAAGGAATTTATCAGGAATAAAGAGGAAGTGAAAGTGAAAGTCACTTAGTTGTGTCCGACTCTGAGACCCCATGGACTATATAGTCCATGGGATTCTCTAGTCCAGAATACTGTTGTGGGTAGCCTTTCCCTTCTCCAGGGGATCTTCCCAATCCAGGGATTGAACCCAGGTCTCCTGCATTGCAGGTGGGTTCTTTACCAGCTGATCCACAAGGGAAGCCCAAGAATACTGGAGTGGGTAGCCTATCCGTTCTCCAGCGGATCTTCCCAACCCAGGAATCGAACCCAGGTCTCCTGCATTGCAGGCAGATTCTTTACCAACTGAGCTACATAATAGCAAAGGGGTCAGTTCATCAAAAGGACACAACAGTCCCAAACACCGATGCACCTAATTATACGGCTTCAAAATTCATGAAGCAAAACCTGATAGAACTGAAAAGAGAAACTTAAAGTTTCTCCACAATTACAAGTAGTGATCTCAACACTCTTCTCTCAGTAATTGATAGAATCAGTAAACAGAAAGTCAGTAAGCATATAGAAGACATGAAGACAAGAGTAACCTACTGGTCCTAATTGCCATTTACAAAACACTGCACCCACCGACAGCAAAACACACATTCTATGCCAGTGCATGTAGAACATTTACCAGGATAGACTCTATGCTGAGTCATAAAACAAGTCTCAATAAATGACAAAGGATTAAAATCCTACAGAGAATATTCACTGACCACAGTGGAAATAGAGTAGAAATCAAGGTCCCTGGAAAATCCCCAAATCTTGGCTCCATCACTGATGAGCTGTGAGACCACAGATTCACCCGTGAGGTTAAATATAATCGTAGGCCCCCATAGGAATTCCCTCACAGGCCAGTGGTTAGGACTCTGTGCTTTCAATATCAAGTGGGTGGGTTCAGTCCCTGGTGGAGGAACTAAGATCCCATGAGCCTCAGAGTGTGGCCAAAATCACAGCATTTATAATAATGCTGTAATAATGATGATAATTGTAGGCTGCTCCTCACAGGGCTGTGCTAAGAGTGAGTTACAACACAGGCCAAGTGCCATGCACGTGTGTGCTTTTGTGGTCCTGGTGACTCAGGACGGACTTGGGAAAAGAAGTACCCACTGGCCTGGCTCTAGACCCAAAGGCAGTCACCTGTCTTGGCCTGGCCCTCTGTCCTCCCACCAGGCAGATGAGAGGGGCTAGGCTCCCTGCCGAAGTACAGATACAGATCTGTGGGGCCTGAAGTCAGGAAAGATGCCGAGAGGTCCTTCCAGACCACCCCCTCCTCCAGCGGATAATGATGAAAAGAGCAGCTGTCCTCTGCTGAGCATGCATGCACACTCCTGTGCTAGGCGCTGGGATGTGGGTGGAGTGTAGGATAAACGGATGAATAATACGCCTTTTCCAAAAGCAACCCAAACTTAACTCACACAAAGTTCCAGGGTCTGCCATAAGCTCTCTGGAAGTCTCTTCAAACCTACCCCACGGGTCAATGCTGTCATTCACTCAAGACAAAACTATTCAGTGCCTGGTACACCCCAGGTACCCCCGAGACCCCAGGGACAGCATGGCAGACGGGTGGTGGCAATGGTGGGGGTGATGGGACCATTCACCAAGACTGAGCCTGGGGACCAATTTGGGAGTAAGGACTTGAGCTCCGTTTTGGGCAAGCTGAGCTTGAGGATGCCTGTTGGGCTCATGAAAGGATCTGCAGTTGAGGACTTGGGAAGGGAAGCCGGGGGTATACAGAGTGGTGGTTCCTGGGCAGGGAGTGGCCCCGGGGTTGTTTAAGGAAAGTGCTTGGTGAGGTATGGGGCACTCTGGTGACCAAAGTGATTGTGTGGGGTCCTGATGTCAGTGGGTGGGGACAGGTGTTGACCAGGCAGCCCAGTCTAAA